TTGGGTGTTTTAGAGAGGGAGAGAGGGCAGGCATGACTGTGGTAGAGTGGGGGGGGGGGCGTTAATGAGCATGGGGCTATTAAGAGCTGAATGTGTGTGTGTGTGAGAGAGAGAGAGAGAGAGAGAGAGAGAGAGGGAGAGGGAGGGAGGGAGGTGCTGAATGACTTTTTGTGCTTTCTGCCATCAGATCCAAAGCGGAATCCTCTCCTCACCGACAGACGTCTCTCAGCTTTAAAATAACGCCATGCAGCATGTGGCCGTAGTCTGGCCTGCAACACGTACTGCTCATTACGTGCAAGACAAAGCCGGCTGGGCTGGAGATGTGGATACACATTGCTGGCTGCCACCGCGCCACACATGCCGGGAGAGAGAGGAGATGATGGACTGTAATGTTAAACAGCGGCCCCGTCAGCTTGGGGCCGCACCGCTACCTCGATTCTCTGCTCGCCAGATGCAAATAAATAAAACATTTGACCGCCGCTGCGTCTCTGGGCGAACCGCGTGGACATTTCGCCGTCGTCCATGTTCTCGACATTGGCGTGACCTTGCGAAATCGCACCTAGTGAATAACAGCATTTTTTACATTTTTTAATACAGACCGAGGCATTAAATCACTGTCCCATGATTACACGTTCCTTTTGTGATGCAACCTGCTCTGCCGACGTAATCCCCTGCAGAGCTGCACATCACACAGACTAGGCGGCCCCTGCCTCTCATTGTGAATTTATCCACGCTTGTGGAAGGGCGTGGCCCAGAGTCGTGGCTAGCGTTTATGGTGACATTTATGCCGGGCTTCTGCAGACGTGCAGCCCTAGCGAGACAGTCACCACTCCAGTCTCGCATTTCCCGTCCTCTGGTCAGGATTGTAATCAACTCTGACAAGACGGGTGTTTGAGGTTGCAGATGAAAATAAGGTCCAACCCCACCACCCTCTTGAGAAACTCCCATGTGCTCGCCCCGGGGGGGGGGGGGGGGGGGAGCGGACCTACAGACTGTTGGTCTGTCCAGTTCAATGTAACCTGCTGTGTTACAAAGGAACTGACATGCGTCAGCCAATCAGAGAGTGTTCCAGATATTGCGGCCCCGGAACTTCCAGAATTGTGGCATTTGTTTCCACGATGCCTTAATATGCAGCTGGATCCCTTTCCTGTTACTCCGAAACATGTGTTTTCCAGTTGCCTTCACCAAATTTCAGCCAAGGACCATGTTGCTGTTGCTGCCCTTAATGTGGCCATTTCTACAGAGTGTTTGGTCAGCTGGGCGACACCATGGTCACCACCTGGCACGGAGCCAGCGGGATGTTTCCACAGGCCGACCCAGCGGCCTAATCCAGCCCCCGCCGCACGCGCCTTTCAGCACTGGGCCCGGGCCAGAACCAGGGAAGCATAATTGTTTCAGACTGTCTAAACGACAGGCCGTCATCCCCGAAGAAAACACAGAGGGGGGCTGCGATTAATTTGAGGGCTGACTACCATGAGTCCGAGAGGAACATGGCGCACGTGTGTGTGTGTGTATGAGGGGGGAGGGGGCAATTGGAGACAGGAAAACCAGGAGGCAAGAAGTGGTCAGAACAAAGGCAAGGAGAGAAGAAAGGAGAGGAGGGGAGGAGAAGCTCTGCTTGGCCGGGGAACTGGACCTGTCGCTTTCGGCCCAACCCTCCCAGCCCCCTAACTGGTTTGGTGAGGTACATAATTAACCAGATACTTAAGCTCCATCCTGTAAAGCATCAGGTGTGGAAAGACTTCAATTAATGCGCATTCCGTAAAACTCGCTGCAACCCCCCCCCCCATCTTAAAAACGCTGATGCCCTCACCTGTGTGGGAGCGCAGGTGGCGCTTGAGTGCCGTGTGGCTGGGGAACGTGCGGTTGCACTCGCTGCAGATGTAGCTGCGCACGCCGGCGTGGACCTCCATGTGCTGCTGCAGGGCCGTCTGAGTCTGGAAGCGCTTGCCACACAGGAGGCAGAAGATGGCCATGTCTGAGCCTGGTGGGGGGGGGGAGAAGGGGACATGGGGGGTTGAGACTGAGCCAATTCACCGCTGGGGGGCACAGCAGAAGTGAGTGCAGCAAGGCGAAACTAAGCTATGAAGCATGTTTCACAGTTGTGGGTGGGGGGTGGTCGGCGGCAGGAACGCGCTGTTACCATACCCCACCCCCGGCAAAGTGTGGGACTAATAGGTGATACAGACATATAAACTTTGCTAAGAAAAAAAATGCCGCCCCAATCTCTCAGAACACACAAATATAGTTTTACTGTTTTTTTTGTTGTTGTTTTTCTTAAAGGGGGGATGGGGTAGGGAGGGGGCTGTAGGTAAAGAGGACAGTGAGAGCTCAGCTTGTACTACATCAGTCGATAACGTATCTTTCTGCCACAGCTCCCACTAATGTAAAAATCCATGTGAGGGCCCCGGCTGCATGTTCATAAAGACACAGGACACTGCCTCCCCCAAATCAATCTATGTATGAATCCTTCAAAAAAAAAAAAAAAAAAAAAAGAAAAATCAAGCTGAAGCAGTGACGCAAGTCTCAGAGCAACCGCGCAACACGAGCAGCCCCTCCCTGGTGGCCTCGGCAGCCCCCCCCAATCGATTGGGACCACCCGTTACGCGAGCGGCCCTGAGTGACAGGAGGGCCCCTAACTTAGCACCGATGGGGTGCGCAGGCGTGAGGGCTGGAGACGCGGGGGTGCCGGGGCTCCAAGAAGGGCCAGGACGCTGACCGCGAAAACGAGCCGTCGACCGCGGCCAGGAGACATTAGGCGTTATTAATTTTAACCATTAATATGGATGAGTTTTAATGAGGCCACATTTCCCATTAAAAAGAGCTCATGCGAATGCAGCAGTACTAAGGTCTGAATCCACATGTGATAAAAACACAATTCCATTTCATGCAAAAATGACACAAGTGCACAGCCGCTGTGGCGAAAATGTGCGTTATTAGCCAAGGCTGTGTGCCAGCCGCTGAATGAGACTCCCGGAGGGGTGGGGGGGCGAGACATGACCATGCTACACACACGGGCCGGCCACATGACCTCTGACCTCCTGAGGTTTCGCAGGAGGGTAAGGCTCTGGCCAACCGGCACCTTTTGGGGGGGGAACAATTTCACTTGAACCTTTGGGGGGGGGGGGTTGGAGGTATACTTGATTGCCGCAATCGCATGACATGAAGAGGGGGGCAGGAAGTATAGAAAAGAACAACTGAAATTTGTGAGGAGTCTCCCCCATTAGGGGCAAACTATCTAATTCCAGGTCCGACTGTAATGAGACTCCTGAGCCAGGGTGGGGGGTGGGGGGGGGCAGACAAGGCAGCCTACCTGGGAAGTTATTACAGCCTTATATTAAACAGGACAAAAAGCAGATAAAGGAGGATGTGTCTCACTGACACCCACTCCTGTCTGTAACTTACCTTTACCTCTGTCTATTTATAATGCCCTGGGCTCCCACCGGGGGGCCCTCTCCTCCAGCATTAACTTAATGGGTCTGAAGTGGCCGACAGAGTTATTTAAGCATTCTGAATAGGCCTTTTAATGGAGAGGGACTCTTCCACAGAGGGGGGGGCTCGCCTGGACCACCGCCGACACTCTGAACCACCGGATACCAGCGAGAGACCAGGCAGACGAGGGGGGGCGCAGATTCAAATGAAATGAATAAAATCGGCAGCAGTGGAAGCCCCAGGTATCGGGCTGCAGGGTTTAGGTGACTCAGGTCCCCCTGTGCGGCTGTCCTGTGCCAACACCTTGGGACTGAATTTTAAATAGGAAGGTGGGGGCACAAAAGGGAAGAGCCATTTCACAGACTTGATGGTGATTTCTATACATCGCATGTGTTATGGGGGGCAGAACCATGAAGAAGGCCACACAGCATGCTGGGAGACACAAGCCTGTATGACGAATGAAGTTTGCCGGCCAAAGTGATGATCCGGCTGCAGGACCTTGCCGGTGGGCTGTACCCCTGCCCCCTCCCCCTTGCTCCACCCACCACCTCACCTGCCAAAATGGCCCCCTCATTTGGCGAGATTAATAAAACATGCAAAAACCACCAGCCTCCATCCTCCATCACGTACAGACGGCTCGATGGCCAGACGCAAGAGTATCCCGAACATCGCTGCCGCCCCCCCCCCGAAACTCCCATGTCTCCCCATTCCGTTTGATCGCCATGGACGTGGCCGGATCCCCCCTGCCTCGCTCCCCGCTGCTTTAAATGGGAGGATGAGATGGCTTGCGCTCTAATCAATAAGAAAGGAGCCATTACGGACCCAGAAAAAGCACGGCTAAATCAGCGCCGTAATCAGCTGCTGCTTCATCACCGCTGCCTCATGCAGTCTGACGTCCGCAGGAGCGCGGAGAGCGCCGAGTCGTGTCAACATTCTAAGTGGACCCAACGATTCCCTCACTGTCGGGGGCATTCGGGTCATTCCCCTAGATGCGGGTGGGCCTGATGTGGGACTCAGAGGGCAAGAAACCCTCTTAACAGATCAGTGGGTCTGAAGACGCACGTATGATAACAGGGTTTGCCAAATGGACTGTCAGAGCTGACTTTCCATTTTTTTTTTTTTAATACAACAAATTTCTCAGCTTCTTCATTCAGCAGGATATCAAAGTACTACTGCAAACAGCAATTCAAGCTGTGCAGTAAAACTATCTGGCCCTCCACGTTCCGAATCCACATCATCTCCATGTTTACTTCCCACAGTCCGAAGACACACAGTCATGTGACTGGGATGCTAACTCAGTTAGCACCCGTGTGTGAACATGCACTCTCCGAGGTCCATTCACTCACATCCCCGTTTTATGTTCAACACTAGCGTGACAGCAACTGGCTTCCGACGCTAAAAAAAAATGAACGAAAGTACACTAGAAACATAGAATGATGTCAAACCACCACCAGCCTCAGTTTCATGGAGTCACTTCACAATTTCAAGGGACCCTCTGGGCACAGTAGCCTGGAGGAGAGGCCTGCCGAAGCCGGACAGGCCTGCGCACGTTACGCGCAACACAAAGGGGCTTCGTTCAAGTGTACCCCCCCCACCCCAACAGCACAGATCATTAGGAAAGGCGTCGGCCTTCCCGGGTGCGTCTGAGCCAGTCATCAGCATGCCATCGATGGGGGCAGGACTGCGTGACAGCTAGGTAAGCAGGCTTCCGGCTAATGAAGCAGGGACACCCGAAGACTGACGGAGGCATTAAAAGCGGTGGCCATTAGGGGCAGCCAGCACATACATCAGTGCCAGGAGTCGCTCTGCTAACGCCCCCCCCCGGCGCACGGTCCGGGGCTTGGTGGGGTGCACGTGCATATACACATTATTGTCCTCGTTACTGCGAGATGCAGGAGAGGACAGGGGGCAACGAACAGGTTGGGGGGGGGATGTTGTCTGTGAGGGGTTTGTGCCCAAGCCATGAATCGCATGAGGGGTTATGTCCAGACGAGGAAGGAGAGACAAACGAAACCTCCAAATGAAACTAACTCAGCAAACAAAATGGGCAGCAAACGAAATGGGAAGTAAAGTACACAAACGAGCAAACTAAACCAACCCAGCAAATGAAAATTGCAGCAAACGAAACGGCTGGCAAACAAAACAGGTGGCAGATCTCCCTGCATGTTCAGTCACAAAGTTGGTGACCCGGTGCCACAACAGGGGACAGGGAGCGTGGAGAAAAACACAGCGACTCATTGTCACTCATTCTGCCGGGAGCATGAAGGTATGGAAGCCGCGCGGTGGAGACGGACATCACGCCAGGAGGCAAACTGCGACGCCGATCGATCCGCCGCGTGTTGGAGCCGGCACGCCACTGCTGGGGTGGGGACTGGGGGCTTTTTGTGACACTCCTCATATACGTCTGACTGACATTTACGGGCTTGTCAGAATAGTGGCTGAGCGCGTTGAGGCGGCCACACATACACACTTCGGAACAGACGCCTGAAACACCTTCTCTGAATCCGGCAGACGGCAGCACAGCCACAGCTGCCTTGCCCGAGCGTCCTGCTTCGCTCGCAGAAGACAAAAAAAAATAAAGTGTCAGGATGAATTGTTTATTGATCTATGAGGGAGCTGGAGACCCTCATTAAAGGCTGGAGAGGGAACGTTACGCACGCCACAGATCTTCCATGTCGAGCTCCAACAAAAAGCAGCTCGGAGAACATGTTGAATGTTCTAATTATTCAGGAAATAGCTTCATATTCCATATTCCTCACTGGGCAACATTAATTTTCCTCAACCATACATTCAATTATGGAGCGGGAAAAATTACAGGGCAGATATCAATGGGCTGGCTCAGTCTTTCAAAGCCTTATGACCACATTAGGTTTTCATATCTCCTATTCTGGCACCGAGCATTAACCAGGCAGATGAAAATAAATGTTTCAGTGTCCCCCCCCCCTCCAAGTTATGGAATATCGCAAAGCAGCTACATTTCTAAAAGGAAATGATGTCACGCTAGATTATAGCCCTAGAAAGCACCCAGCAAAACTAGTCTCGTTCCATCAGAGTGGAATAGTGTTGGATTTGGCAGATTAAAAAAAATTATTAATGTATAATTTACTATAAGTTTATTGTATGTACAGGGGCCAAATTGATAGCATCACAGCAAGGATCAGTCCGACAGCCTCAGAAAGTGGTCAGCTCAAACCAGATCCACCCAAAATGCACGTATTTAAGTGTTATTTTGGTAGGACGTGCCCCTTATCGCCGTGGCGATCCCGCACTGCTGGCGACACAAAGGAGGCCGCGTGTTTTTTAAAAGGGAACATAATTTACAGCGCACGGCAGGCCCCAGCATGGCGGAGGACGGCCTACAATGGGAGAGAGGCCCGCTCGCCGCATCCCCCCTCCGCCCCATCCCACAAATCCGATTTAATCAGACAACTCTAGCGGTGCAGCTTGAAGTAAGAAAGGGGATAATTAGTAAACAGAGAGCTACTCCACAGCTTCATTGGCATTCGAGCGGGGTGAGCGTGTCGCATTTAAAATGCGCTCTGATGAAGTCTA